CTACTACACAAGCTTTCAAACGATGCCCTAATTGTGGCACCACTCGAGTCCCGTACCCACTAAGTACGGGACTCGATTGTGGCGATCCGGATTACAAGATCCGTTGTGATGACCGCGGTTTACTATGGTTCGATACGCTCAACGGATCAACCAATCCAATCAAAAGAATCGACCCGTTGGGCCAAAGTTTTGTCCTAGTTCCACCAGGGTTCGAACCGAACACATGTGTATCGGTCGATATTAAGTACCACGGTATTCAGCTAGATTTAAACCTTCCTTTCAATGTTAGTACTCGTAACACGGTTATAATCATGAACTGTACAAAAGATGGTTTAGATGCATACATCTCTCAAGGGTTTAACTGCTCGAGTAATAGCTTGTGCCACAAGTTTCTAGATTCGAATCCCGAGGCACGAGGCAAGTGTCGAAGTGTGTCATCGTGTTGCTGGTATAAGACCGGTGCATCGGTTAATACTTATAAAGTATATAGGGCTAGGTCAGATATGTGTTCGGCTTATCAGAGTTATATGAATTTGGATCTGATGATGCCGGTTAGCAAATGGGGTGAACCGGCCGTTGAGATACTATGGGAAGCTCCAAGAGAGCCGGTTTGTAAGATTCCGGGAGATTGTACGGATTTGGCGAATTCGGTTTGCTCGGGTGATTCGAAGAATTTAGGGCAAAAGAGATGTTTCTGCAAGAAAGGGTGTCGATGGGACTCGCTCAATGCAATATGTGAAGGTCCGGTTTTTTTATAGTTTAAGTTTGAGTTTGAGTTTGAGTCGAGTCTTTTACTAATAGCAAAACTGTTTATTCAGTTAAGAGATGCTCTAAGTCTATGGGAAAGAAATGCAAGCGATGGCGCAAATTACCTTTGATTGGAGGTAAACTCATTTCCTTTTAATTGATTTGTTTCATGCATCATTTTGAGTCAAATCGAATATGTTGATCAAGATGGCTATTAGGTCAGCTTTGGTTGTATTATTTTTGTTGGTTTATTTGGTACATATCCAAATTACTAGGATATTCACTCAGGATTTCGATTCGGTTCGAGTTTTTCGGACTTATGAATAGCATTCGTCAAAGTAAAACATAATTCTTTACGGATAGTTTGATATGGTTTTCGTTCGGATTCAGGTTTGAGTCAAATACAAACTTTTTAATGTTAGAA